GAAATAACAGCTGAAAACTTCCCCAACCTGGGAGAGGAAACAGACATCCAGGTCCAGAAAGCACAGACATCCTCAGACAAGATGAAGCAGCCAAGGAGGTCCACACCAAGAAGCATAATAATTAAAATGCCAAAAATTAAAGATAAAGAGAGAATCTTAGAAGCAGCAGGAGAAAAGCAACAAGTTAAGCACAAAGGAACATCTATAAGAATATCAGCTGATTTTTTCAGCAGAAACTGCAGGCCAAAAGGGAGTGACATGATATATTTGAAGAGCTAAAAGGAAAAAACCTACAACCAAGGATATTCTACTCAGGAGAATTATCATTCAGAACTGAAGAAGATAGTTTCCCAAACAGAAGGAGTTCACTACCACTAAACTGACCTTCCAAGAAACGTTAAAGGACTTCTTTAAGTGGAAAAGAAAAGGCCGTAACTAGAAGAAAATTATGAAAGAAAAAAACCTCACTGGTAAAAACAAACATACAGTAAAGGTAGTCGATCAGCCACTTATAAAGCTAGTGTAAATGCAAAAGACAATAATAGTAAAATAGTAAGATCAACTATCAAACCCCTGGTTTGTGGGTTCGAGCCCCGTGTCAGGCTCTGTGCTGACAGCTCAGAGCCTGGAGCCTGCTTCAGATTCTGTGTCTCCCTCTCTCTCTGCCCCTCCCCCACTTGTGCAAGCTCTGTCTCTTAAAAATGAATAAATGTAAAAAAAAAAAAACAAAAACCATTTTTTAAAAAAAACTAATAAAAAAAATTTTGCATAGTAAAGGAAATCAAAAGAATGAAAAGGCAACCTACTGAATGGGAGAAGATATCTGCAAGTGATTATCTGATAAAAGGTTAATATCCAAAATATATAAAGAACTCAGGGGCACCTGGGTAGCTCATTCGGTTGAGCGTTCTGACTCCGGCTTAGGTCATGATCTCAGTTTGTGAGTTCAAGCCGCGCATCAGGCTCTGTGCTGACAGCTCAGAGCATGGAGCCTGCTTTGGAATCTGTGTCTCCCTCTCTCTGCCCCTTCCCTGCTCATGCTCTTTCTCTCAAAAATGAATAAATGTTAAAAAAAAAAAAAAAAAAAAGCCCCCTACAACTCACACCAAAAAAAAAAAAAATCTGATTTAAAAAATGGGCAGAGGGGGGCGCCTGGGTGGCTCAGTCAGTTAAGCAGCCAACTTCGGCTCAGGTCATGATCTCGTGGTTCATGAGTTCGAGCCCCGCGTCGGGCTGTGTGCTGACAGCTCAGAGCCTGGAGCCTGTTTCGGATTCTGTGTCTCCCTCTCTCTGACCCTCCCCCGTTCATGTTCTGTCTCTCTCTGTCTCAAAAATAAATAAACGTTATAAATACATACATACATACATACATAAATAAATAAAAAATGGGCAGAGGACTGGAACAGACACATGAAAAGGTGCTCTACATCACTAAACATCAGGGAAATGCAACATAAATCAAAATCACATGAGATCATCTCATGCATCTCAGAATGGCCAGGATCAAAAAGATAAGAAATAAAAAGTACTGACGAGGATATGGAGATAAAGGAACTTGGGCACCACGGATAGGAATGTAAACAGGTGAAGCTACTGTGGAAAACAGTACAGAGATTCCTTAAAAAATTAAAAATAGAAATACCACATGATCCAGTAATTCTACTTCTGGGTACTGACCCAAAGAAAATGAAAACACTAATTCAATGTTTGCTGAAGTATTATTTTGTCAACTATACTTTAATTAAAAAAAAAAAAAAAAAAAAAAAAAAAAAAAAACAAACCGAGATGGGATGCCTGGGTGGCTCAGTCTGTTAAGCAAGTGACTTGATTTCAGCTCATGTCATGATCTCACAGTCGTGGAATTGAGCCCCGTGTCAGGCTGTGTTGGGCATGGAGCCTGCTTTGGATTCTCTCTCCCTCTCCCCCACTCATGCACGTGCTCTATCTTCCTCTCTCTTTCAAAATATATAAATAAATTAAAAAAAAAAAAAAAGATGAACTTCTCCCCAAAAAAGACAACATAAATTACCAATATGGAGAATGAGAGAGATAAGATCACTACAGATTCTACAGACCTTAAAAGGATAAGAGATAATCTTATGCCAATAAATTCAACAATTTAGATGACAAATTCCTTCAAAGATAAAACTATCAAAGACAATACCAGAAATACAAATTCTGAATTTCTCTGTATCTATTAAAGAAATCAAATGTGTTGTGAAAAACCTTTCCACATCAAAAACTCCAGGCTCAGAGAGTTTCACTGGTGAATTCTACAAACACTTAAGGAAGGTTATCATACCAAATCTATTTAAAGTCTTTTTAAAAAATATTGAAGTATCTCCCATCTCATTCAGTACTACCCAAATACCAAAACCAGGCAGATACACAAGAAAAATACAGACCAATATCCCTAATGAAAATTGATGTAAAATTTTTAAGCAAAATTTTAGTAAACTGAATCTAGCAATATATAAAAAGGAAAATACATCAGAACCAGGTGCAGTTTATCCTAAGGACACAAGGTCAGTTTAACATTTGAAAACCAGTGTAATTACCACATACCAAACTAGAAAAAGAAAACCATACAATCATCTCAATAAATGCAGAAGCAGCATTTGAAAAAATCCAACATCTATTCCTAATTCTTGGCTAAGTAACATAAATACACTTACTAAACGCACTCTTTCTCCTTGCAGTCTGGTTTCTATTCCACCATTCCACTAAATATGCCTTTGCTAAATTCACCAGGGTCTACTTCTGAAACACAATATAGCATGGTGATTAAAGAGTGTGGACTCTGGAGCTATACTACTTGGGTTCAAATCCCAGCTCTGTCCCTTACCAGGTGTGTGACCCTGAACAGCTGTAATTTCTCCATGCCTCATTTTTCCTATACACAAAATGAAGATAATAGTAAGACTTCCCTTATAGGGAGTTATGAGATTAAATGAGTTAATATATATCCAAAGCACAACAGTGAATGGCATTTAGTAAGAACTATGTAAGTGTTAGCTATTAGTTACCTTTGGAAAATACCTAGCACTTAATCTCTGGTTGTTCTCAGATGATCACTCTGTCCATGCTGAGAAGCATTTCAACAGTTTAAAGTAAATCTGAGTGCAGTGTGAGCGGTGAGGTCATGGCAGAGCTCGAATGTGAATCCTGGCTCAATCATTTATTGGCTAGGTGTCCTGGGGCACATTGCTTAACCCTTCTGGACCTCTTTTGTCATGTGTAAAAGGGTAATAGTACTTTATTTCTTCAGACTGTTGTGATGATTATGTAGATGTCTCTTTTCTGGCCTCAATCTCCTACTAAGGCCAGGCTTATTTTACCAGGATGCCTTCCAGCTGGACTGGGCTTAGGCCCAGGTTTTCCAGAAACCAACAGTAAATGCTCTTCTCTGAAGAGGTCAATGTTGAAAGGTCAATCTTGTATTCACCCAGGACTTCTAGGGTGTTGTCCTCCCAGAGGCCAGAATGACATCTCAGGGTCAGGAGGGTGGCCTTTTAGGAACCAAGATTCTGATGGGAAGAGCCTGGGCCCTAATGAGCTTATAACTGATCTTTTCTTCTATCTATTAACTGGTGATGTTTCTGTAAGTCAGCTTTGGAATTTGTCATCTCTATTTGAGAGTTAATTACTACCCACAAAGACAAGTAGCTGCGAAAAATCTGTATTTTCACCCTCATATTTTATGAGAACTTTCTTATTAAAATGCCAATGTTCAGGGCACCTGAGTAGCTCAGTCGGTTAAACGTCCGACTTCAGCTTGGGTCATGATCTCACGGTCCGTGAGTTCGAGCCCTGTGTCGGGCTCTGTGCTGTCAGTTCGGAGCCTGGAGCTTGCTTCGGGTTCTGTGTCCCCTTCTCTCTCTGCCCCTCCCCCACTCAGGCTTTATCTCTATCAAAAAATGAGTAAACGTTAAAAAAAATTTTAAATGCCAATGTTCACACTTTAACATGCTCTCCACATCTTTGCACATCCATCTCTTGGTGTACAGTGTGGCTCCAGATGAATTTTTTTCCCTCAAATAGCTGATTATCTGTATTTCTGAATATATTCCTGGGGTCTTGATTCTGTGCCCCTGACCCATATTTCTATTTTCAGGCTGGTTCTCCCAAACTTGAGGACTGTTTACAGTCCCCCCCCGCCCCCCCCCCCCGGCCCCGGGGGCGGGTGGGGGGTGGGGGGTGTGGGGGGGGTGGGGGGGGGGGGGGGGGGGTTTTTTTCTATCTTCTGTGTCCTCACATAGAAGTGATTCCATTTCAGTAAGCTTTAGATATGTCGTTTCTCCCCTTCTGGCTGCTCTAATCCAAACCTTAATCATTTTACAGTAGGACAACAGCGATAACCTTGCTGGCCTCCCCCTCCCACCAGACCTATTCCACTCAGAACAGAGAACTCACTGACTCACGTTATTTCGAACAGAGCAGTAATTTTGAATTCTATTTAAACCAAATGTTTTAAGACTTGAAGACACCTCCTTACTGACCTTCACCTGAGGACTTCATTTCCCAACACTCTGGATCCAGGCTTATCAATATAGTCATCTACATTTTCTCTCATCACTGAGTATTCCCCAGTCGTAGGTCCTGATTCCAGAGCCCACAGGCTCTTAACCATCACATGATATAGTATTTAAGAATGTGGGCTGTAGGGTCCTAGGTTAGAATAGTTCCATTTCTGACTAGCTGTGTCTTCTCTATGCCTCAAGCTTTATGTGGAAAGCAAGACAATTAAAGTACCAACAAGAGTACCAACTGGTCTCAGCTGTTGCCAGGACTGAACTAACCTATGTAAAGCTCTGTCAGGCACTCAGTAAGCACTGAAAAAACATTAGCTATTACACTAGCATTACTATATTGCCTCCTAACAAGACACCTAGGGTCTGGCACATACTAGGTGGCCCATAAATTGAATATTCATTCCTACCCCTAAATTTATTGAAAACACTAGTGAAAGATAGAAGTTTTAAACTGGGAATTTGACCTACCTTTAAATCTGAGTTGGCTGCAAATTTCTGTCCAATTAAAGCTGCATTTCCTCCTACATAGTGCTGTAAGATAGTTCAAAGTTATCAGACAATATTTTAGCACAACTATGTTACCCAAGCTTAATAATTTTTTAATTTATTGAATTTATAGTCCATTTTTTTCCCAAAACATTTTGAGGCTACCTTATAACAATGCCACACAGATGAGGTTCATAAGATCATTAACCTCATAGGTAACTCATTGTAACAATGAGTTACAAGCAAAGGTGAAAAAAAAAAAACAACCAAATATGCCAACCATGAAAATCAATATAACTGTCGTAACTGCAGATCAAATCTGGCCTTTGGTATGCTGGGGTGATAGTCTGAGGTCTCTGGGCCCACCACTGCCTCTTACTCCATGCGAACCTCAAGAAAGTATCTGGACCATGTGGGCCCTCTAAGCTCTCTCCATCTCTGACAGGTTCTACCCCGTAGACTGGGGATTCTCAAAACAATGTCTTCAAAACAACAGCATCATGTAACAAGGAAACTTCCCAGAAGGGAAGTAAATTCTTGAGTCCCATACATCTACTGAATCAGAAACTCTAGGAGTGGAGGCTAGGAAACTGTTTCAATACCCCCTCCGAGTGATTCTGTGTTTCATGTCTGAGAACCACTAATCTAAACCAGCAATTCTCAACCAGTCTGCTTCTCTCCTCTCCCTAACCCTGGAAACTGACCATGTCTGGAGACATTTTTAACTGTCACACCCAGGGAGGGAAGGGAGTGCTACTGTCATCCAATGATTAGATGCCAGAGATGCTGTTGAACATCTCACAATGGGTAGGACAGCCCCTACAACAAAGTATTAACCAACCCTAAGTGTCTGTAATGCTGAGGTAAGGAGCCTGGCTCTGGAACACTAGAGCAGAGGTGAAGATCCAGCTCTCCCTTGCCATGCAAAAGCTACAACTAGTTCTCTGCGTATCTGGCCTTATTCTGCTCAGGAAGGACTCAGTCATACTACAATTATTCCATGTTATCAGCCACAAGCAATACCCAAACAAGTTAAGAGGTAAACTTACCTTAAAGTTGGGTAATATGAAAAAAGAGCAATTTAAGGGATGAACCAGAACCAAACTCTTAGTAACTATGCTTCATAAATACTGGCTGAATTTAACTGACTGGAAACAGTGGAGTTAATGGAAGTTCAGATATACAGTCCTACAAAAAGGGAAAACAGTACAGAACTGGATTCCCAACAATCACATTTGGGAGAGAATAAAGACAAAGCTTATCAGTTGCTTCTAGGAAGCATACAAAAAGGTATCTTTCCCCACCTTCTCTTAATTTACTGCTGGTGAACCAAACAGACCTGGGCTCCTGGGAGCTCTGATGCAATTTGAGCAATGTCATGGAAAGCTTCCTTATCACTGAAGAAGCGCTCAGCTGCCACTCCCTTCCCCATGAAATGAATGAAAGCTTCTTCCAGATCATTCTTTGAATGCAGAATGGTGTGATCTTTCCCATTCCCAGGACTCAGACCAAGCGCCTCCAAGAGCTTCACTCCTGAGAGCACTACATCCACACAGGCATTGACTCTGGAAGGAAGGAAGGAAGGAAGGAAGAGGCAGTGTGAAAGAGAAAACCAGAAGTACCTATTCTGCATTTAACAACAGAGAAGTGTTTCCAGGAACATATTCAAACAGATAAACAGACGAAGTGGATCTGAAACCTTAACTGGGAAGTACACAGCATATGGCAGAAGGAAGTCTTTTATCTGGACGTATGCCAGAATATTTCTGAGGATGGGAACACAGGATTCTTTTCAATAGGTTGGCAAACCTTTGCGAGCTACAAAGAGAAGACAAGTGCTCAGCATTTTAGAATAAAGATATCATGATAACACAAATACAGCATTTCTGAGAAAATGCTGGCAGAGCCAAACTGTCTGGATTCACACTGGCTTTGTGACTTGGGCAAGTCAAATTTCTGTGTCTCAGTTTCCTTATTTATAAAATGGCATAATATGGGTATTTAACTTATAGAACTGTTTCAAAGATTAAGTTAATATATGCTTAGGAACACTGGTGCAAAGTAAGCAAAATGTAAGTTTTGGTCAAAAGTCAAGTATCTGATAGCCTACCTCCAAAGACACAAGTGGAAGGTGGTAAAACACTAAATACCTAAATGTGTAAATACTCCCAGCTGAAACTCTTAAGAGTTAAGTGGTATCTTAAAGACTCAGGCACACCTGCAGTCTTGTAACGACTCATCACTTGGCAGGTGTTCACTGGACCAATCCATGACCTTAAAGGGCTCCTAAGAAATCAATGCTGCATCACCTGGTTGGCTCTGTGGAATCAAATTATAAAGAGTTATGGTTGTCTGGCATGGCCTCTCCTATGTGTGCACAGAAAAGTTCTGGCTTATATTTTTAATGTTAAAAAGCCACCCCTTAAAAGAGAAGGGTCAAATAATTTGGGTAGCTAGATGAGGACCTTCTGCCCCCCAACCCATAGTCACCTTTATTTTTGCTTCTATTGGGGATGTCATTCTTGCCAATGGGGCTAGATGACCACACAGACAGCTCGTAAGCCTCTGAGAGAACCTAGGCCCACAGAAGGCCAATAAATAGCTCCTGGGGAGAAGGGGGCTGGGTTTCCAGGTGAAATCCAAGCAGCTTCAAACCAGAAAGTATAATCATCAATAAAGAAAGACCGAAGGACTGGATTCTAGTGTGGAATATAGCTACAATGTTTCCCTTCTAGTCTCTTAAAAAAAAAAAAAAAAAAGATCTCTGGATCTGGAAATTAACAAAGTCATTAATGGTGGTAAACCCTAAGAGGAATGAGATTGGGTAAGGGAGAGGAATTTTGTTTTTCATTAGATTTCTAATTTTTATAAGCATGTATTATGTTTATAATTGAAAAGCACTATAATTTTTAAAAGGTTCATATGTAGACTAGATATAAGGTTTACAATGGCAAGGAAGAGACACATCTCTCCTAGTGATACAAACTGACTACACCCTCTTCATAAGGATGCTTTATTTTTCTCCTATGGATCCCATGCTTTAAAAAAGATTTCTGCCTACCAATCAGCATTTAAATATTCAAATTTACTTATTCTTTTAAAATTAAAGATACATACATACTCTGCTCAACTGGAAAGGCATAATCTAAGAGTTACTATGCCCTTCAGTGCATAAAACACACTGACATTCATGTGGCAGGAGCTTAACTGTGTTTAAAAAACATCCCTTTCACAGCCCTGCATGATCATAAACCAAGCAAACCTTATAAACCAGTCTCAATTCCACCTCATACAGGGTGTTCTTTATTTCTACTGGATGCAACATTATATATCTAAAGGGTAGACTCTTAACACATCGCCTTCATATCCAGTGGTGTGCTGAGACCTTGAATAGAGTTTGATTCTTTAAAGATGGGAATGGGGGAAGTTTGCAAAAGTTACAAAAAAAACCAAAAGGAACAATGTTCAGCATACTTTGCAATACAAGACAAAACTCAACAGAATTTTGATTTAAAAAAATGTAACTACCATAGGAACATTTTCCACCCCCCAACTTAATCATGCCATGAATACAAAGGGGAAAAAATCTTATAAAAGGAAAACATTTTATTCAGTAGTTTTTAGTAAAAAGGGATCATTGAACATCTCTGTGCCAGACACCAAACTAAGTACTTCTCCATGTACTTTCTAGTCACCCTTTAACCAGAGCAAGAATCTTCCTCTGCACTTACCTCAATTCAACAGCATCTGAAAATGTAAACAAGCACATTACCTACGTCGCTTTATTACCAGCGGAATTAGAGAGAGGGAGGGAGCAAAAGAACCAGAAGACAAAATTATGCTCATTTGACTTCAGGCAGAATTTCACAGTTGAGTACAAAAGGTATAAAAGATTGTAATGTGAGTTTGGAGAAAAGGAAGACACAGATGCAATCACTGGAAACTAAAGCAAGGCAACAGATACTGAATGTCCAAACAAGAGGAAGGACTAGAAGGACAGGGAAGCCTGGGCTTCCGTGCCCTACTGCCAGAGGTTTGTTGGGGGGCTGGGGAGGGGGCACAGTTCCCCTTCTAGACTGTAAATTCTTTAAAGGCAAGGATGGTGGTTCTAATCACCTCCCTTCTGTTTCATTATCTGTAAAATGTTTCCTTAAGTTCTTCCTAGCTTTAACCCTATACCTGAGATATTTACAATGGGTAATCATAATCACCAGAAGATGCAGAACTGCAGAGAAGAGAGATCCAAAGGTGCAGGGGCAGTGGTCCCTGCGCTGAACTCTGGATGGTGCTCTGGTCAGAGAGAGAAGGCTGCTATTTCTGAAGCAATGCATGTGAGGCAGGTGTTTTCAGAGAGATCACACCAGTTTGCAAAACACGGTAAGATAGGCAAGTAGTTCTCACTGCTTTCAGCTGAGAAAAGCTGAGGCTGGAGGCTGACTGACATTCCAAAGGCCACAAATGGAGGAGGCTAAATTCAAACCCAGATTTATCCGATACTGAAGCCCTTGCATGCAGTGTGCACAAGCACAGGTGCAGATGAAGAGATTAACTTTACGTGTGGATACAGGTAAGAATGTGGTTAGATACAGGTTAGAATGGAGAGCTGAAGAGAGGAGTGGAGTATGACAGGCTTCAAAGGTCAGGGAAAAGCCAGGTATTGGGGAATGAACACTAGGTTCATGATTCACTCAATGGGTCTCAGGCACCAGAGTCCGATTTTGGAGCAGAGGAGGTGGCACATTTCAGAAAGGTGTGGTAGCATGCCCACCACTGACCATCTTTCTTGAAACATGTCCTATCCGTTTTTTCTCTGGGTCCTTTCCACCAGCCCCCTACATGCTGGTGCCTCCCAGAATTCCACCCTTGCCATTTACTTTCCTTTCTTGCTCTCTTCCGGGGCAATCCTATCCAGTCTCTGACCTCAACTTAACCACTGGCATCTCCAAAGCCTGCAAGCCTGCTCCTCAATATGCTCCTAAACTTCAGCCTCACTGTCAGCTGAAGGCTCAGTTTAATTTGAAATCCCACAAGCAGGCACAGTGCCCCCTCCTCTGAAATCCAACCTGTTACTTTTCAACACAAACTCGATCTCTTTTCTTAGTCTCATAGCAGTAATGTGGCATGAACAAGATCGGAGCCAGAAACCGGCTTACCTTGTGACTTTGGTAGTTAACAGCTGTGTAATCTTGGGCCAATCAATACTTCTAAAGCTTTGGTTTACTTATCTATGAAAACTGGATGACAATATTTGTATCTATGTACATAAGGTTATAAAATGCCCGATGCTAGAAACTTGTCATTCTGGACTGCCTTTCTTTATCACACTCAACCTGTTAACAAATTTCACATTTAGTACACTGCGAATAAAAAAGGCTCTTCTCTCCCTTCACCCAGACCCTACGACGGCCTCTTAAGGTCAGGATGTCAAGCCTTTCCTCCTTATCAACCACACTACATTGTGCATCCAGAGTGCAAGTGAAAGTGTGTGTTCTCCTGAGAAGTCAACTACAACATCCCCTCCCCCAAATGAAATTCTAGTACAAGTACTGCAACTTCTCTCACCTACTCCTTGCACATCACCATCTTTAGGGCTAAATCCCTGTGGGTAATGAAAAATGTTACCAACAGATGTCTGTTACCCACAAAAGTGATGTGAAACTGCCAATCGGGTTACAGCCATGGCTCAAAACCCACCCTTTACGTTCCTACCAGTTATTCTCAGCAAAGAACTTAGTCTTATTTACCTGCTTATAAACCGTTACTGCTCTCCTACCACCTACCCTGATATGAAAGGCCCTTCTCAGCATCATTTACTCACCTCTCTCTACCATAAGGTCCTTGCCCTCAAAACAGGGCCAACTTGCTGTTCCTAAACTGTGTACATCACATTTGGTTCTCTCTGCTTAGGTGGTCTTATCCCCCCACCCCACCCCACCCCACTTCTGTGAAGAAATCCCATTTTTTCTCCAGGGCCTATCCCATGCAGTCACTATAGCAGATTATATTGTCCAAGATGGTCACAAGATGTTCCGTCCTTTTTACAATGTGATGTTGACACTCCTTCCATCAAGATGTGCTCTAAGTCCCATCCATTTGAAACCAGCTGGACCTAGGACTGTGGTAGAAGTAACACTGTGCTTTTAAGATTAGGTCGTGAAAGGCATTAAGGCTTCTGCCTGGTCGTCTTGGAACATTCTATTTACTCTGCTATGAGAAACCTACATAGCTAGCTGCGCAGAACGCCTGTAGGTGCTCAGGATGTAGCTGAGGCTGTAGCTGACAACCACAATCAACCTTTAAAGAGGATTCCAGTCCCAGACACCATCTGACTGAAGCTGCCCCTCCAGTGAGAACTGCCTAGCAGAGCCTAACTGAACCTGAGAATCAGAAAAGATAATAAAATGACCATGTGTTAAGCTACCAAGTTTTGGGGTGATTTGTGATTTAGTAAATGTAACATCACCTTCTCAGAGCATTTTCCAAAGCCTCATCCTGGGAAGAATTAGTAATCCTTTGAGACACAAGGCTACCTTGTTTTTAGCCCTAGTTCTGCAAAGCACTTCTGATAGCTGTTACAGAGAGCACTGTGTGCCCTGTCCCCCACCAATTCGTATGCTGAAGCATTTACCACAAATGTGACTGTTTTTGGAGATAGGGACTATTTAATCTAACAGGGCTAAAGTCCATATAAGAGGAAGAGACACCAGGAGTGTGCGTGCACAGAGAAAAGGCCACATGGGTACACGGTGAGAAGGGGGCATCTGCAAGTCAGAAAGAGAGGACTCACTAGAAACCAATCTTGCCAGCACCTCACCTTGATCTGAGGCTATCAGCATCTAGAACTGTTGAGAAAATAAATTTCTGTTGTTTAAGCCACTCAGTCTGTGGTATACTGTTATGGCAGCATGAGCACTAATAATAAATATATCTCTTTTCAACAAATGAGGCGGGGATCTTGCTTCACCCATTTCTGTATCAGAACTTAGCACAGACCTGATACATACCATGCAGTTGATGATTTTTTGTTGAATGTGCATAAAACCAGGGAGGACAATTAAGAAGCTGATAAGGAAGTTGGTGAAAGGGCCTGAACTTGAAAGAAGAGATAAAAGGGGATATATCTGAAGAAACAATACACTGGTATTAAAAAACAAAACAAAAGGAAAAAACTAGCTAACGTTTGAGTGCTCTTTACAGCAGAAGGCATGCTAGATTACACGATTATTTTGTCTAACCTTCAGGATAACTTGGCTCTCTACCTTAGCCTTCCCCCAGCACTCACAAAAACCAGCAGAAATTTCATAGATGGCCTGCTTTTGTATGGTGCTTTAAAGGTGAAGACAAGATATTTAAGTCGAACTGAGACAGGGTTTAAAGTTTGTGTGAGGAGAACAAATACATTTTTTGGAGAGGAACACAAAGAAAGGAGGCGCTGTGAGCTGGGAGAACCTTATATATGTCATGTCACTGAAGTTAGGGGAAGAAAAGAGTTTCAAAAAGGGAAACTCTTTAGCGCGTGCAAGACTGCAGACAGTTCGCAGTGAAGACTAAAAAAAAAAAAAAAAAAAAAAGGCAGTTGAACTGGAAAATCAACAAGTCACCAGTGAGTTTTGAGAGAGTAGTTTCAGTAGAGTGGGGGTCTCCCGGACGTTCAGGAAGCGAAAACAAAGGAAATAAAGTCAGCAGTTAAAGGCAGCGACCACGCCACTCAAGAAGTTCAGAAGCAAGAGGATGAGCGCCGTAAGACCAGGTGTCTTTGACCGCAAAAAGGCAGACGAGCCGAAACAGGAATGAAGGAGACTGGAACATGAGGGTGTCAGGCTGCGCGGGATTTGCAAGAAGCTATTAGGCTGGTCCTACCAAGACGAGAGAAGGATGCAGAGGCTAGCCGAGAGCAAAAAGCAGTCTGGTGAGTCCTTGCAGCAGCGACGAACGGGGCTCGTCCTAGACGTCTGACGCTTCTCGTCAAGGAGGCAGCGTGGACACCAGCGCCGAGGGGCCTCCCGGGGACATCTGGGAACCCCTGTTTCCGCGCGGCTCTACCTCCCAGCTCCCCAGCCGCCCAAACTCCGCCAATGTGGCCCTAAGAGGCCCGGAGCGCCCGCACCTCCTTGGAGAGACCCTGAGAGTCAGGCCCCGCAGGCACTCACCCCACGGCCACGCGGCGCCAACGCCGGGCCGGCCGTACAATGAGCGCGTCCCAGGCGGCCGCCAAGCGGCCCTCAGGGGAGCCGGGTCCCGGGGGCGCGGGCGCCAGCTGTAGCGAGCTCCACAGCGAGCGCAGCGCCGAGCCGGGCAGCTGCGGCTCCAGCAGGAGGACACAGCCCACCGCCAGCGCCAGGAAGCCGGCGTACGCAGACCCGCGCCACAGCGCCATAGGGACCGAGGCGCCGCAGCGTCCAGACAGCTCCTTTCCCGGCCCGCGCCTCTTCCGTCTCTGCGTGCGCCGACGTCCGCACGCGCCACGTCACGCCAGTGCGCCGCGGCCCCCGGGGGCGGGCTGGGGGCGGGGCTCCGCGCCTCTCCGCAGGCGCCAACTCTGGCGCTGGGGGGCGCGGTTGCGAGGCCCTGCAGAAGGTAGGACAAAGGTCCGAACGCGGAGCCGGGGGCAAGCCCCGCGCGTCTCCCCACCTCCCAGCTCCATCCCGGACCCCAAACCAGAGGGGCGAGGGCACGTTTGTTTTTCCAATACGAGAGAACCGACGGATTATGAAGAAGCGGGCCAACCTCACGTTAATCTTTGAGCCGGTCAGTGTCCCCGCTTGAGCAGCGCCTGCGTTTGCCGGGAAGGACACCAGTTACACTCCCTGTCTTTTAAGCCATCCCTCCGCGTGTGTCCATCCTCCACCTATGATTTAACAATACCTCTTCCTCCCGGGGGGAATTAGCTCAGAGGGCAGCAGCGCCGCAGCGAGCCCCTGGGGCGCGCGTGGCAGGGGATTCTGCTCCTTTAGAGGGTAACCGAGGCCTTCGGCCACTCGAGGCCCATTCCAAGACGGGAGAGCCAGCAGTGTTCCTCCTCTAGGGATGATCACATTCAAACCTTAAGATAACCCTCGGGGGGGGGGGGGGGCGCTGTTCCCTTTAACAATATCAGAAAAACGCACACAGGCACACAATCTTGTGTTAGGGAGGTTATGGACTTGGGTTAAGAAAGATTGGTTTCTCTTCTTTTCCCTTGGTGGTAGGGCTTCAACCCAGGTAGGCCCTTTCTTCCTCTTTGGGGCCCTCTTTCTACGAGCCCACATTGAAACCAGTGAAGCTAGGCTTGTTGCCAGTTCCTTCTCAGTGGCCACCATGCACCTCCTGGTCTTCTTCCCTGGCTTGTTGCCATTTTTTCTCCTGACTGGCTTTGTGTCGACTTTCCACTCTGCCTCTGACCTTTGGACTTGGCAATGAAACTTAATTTCCCTAGCTTTGATCTTGGGCTATAGGGTTTATTCCCCCACCTCCCACACTCCCCAACCCCCACATCACCTGCTCTTCCCCCTCCTGGCCATCTGCCTTCTCCTAGCTCACCCCATCCAGCCCACCTGATCCCTGATCGTAGCAGCCTTTTCAAAGGAGATGTTCACACAGGAAGAGATTTGGGCTGCTATAGGAAAAGAAAGAAGCCAAGGAGCCAGTAAGATTTGCGTGGAGCCACGAAACTGTCTTCTCTAGAGTTGCCTGTCCCTTCTCTCTCCTGAGATGTGTCCAATCAGTTCCTAGAGAAACTATTCCCTCTCATGGCCCACAGTGGGCATGTTTCCCTACCAGCCCAGAGATGACTGAACCAGCACCTAACTCAAAAGCAGGGAATCCACCAATGGCAGAGAACACTTCTCAATTAGCAATAATTTTGCCTCAGATAAACCTCATTGGCTATGATACTGCCCCTGCACAAAGCTCACAGAACACTTCTCTCTACTGAGAATTTGGACCAAGAGTCAAGAGTCCGTGGCTAGGTGTGTTTGTTTGTTTTTCTTTTCCTTTTCTGGACCCGCAAGGTCACATAGGCTTGATGGTCAGAGAGAGTTAGTTAAATATATTTCCAAGATGAAGTTTTGGGGGCGCTCAGGAAACTGTGGGAGGACCACGGAGCAGACAGTCCTAGAGATACAGGGAAATGCTCCACACCAGAGTCATGTGGAAACAAAGCTGCCTGGGGCCTTACCTTCTGGCCCCCAAGGTAGCTGCTGAACTGCCAGCACTTTGAAACTAATGCTTCTGCTTCTTTCCAGGCTTGCCAGAACTAGCCCCGCCCCCTTAACCCCTCAGTTTTATTAAGATATAATTGACATGTCAGTTACAACACTGTATGAGTAAGGTGTCCAACATAATGATTTGATACACGTATATACTGCACCATGATTACAATAAGTTTAGTTAACATCACTACCTTGCATAGTTACAACATTTGTTTCTTTGTATTTAAGTTGTACTCTCTTAGCAGCTTTAAAATACATGATACTAGGGGCACCTGGGTGGCCCAGTCCACTCAGCATCTGACTTCTGCTCAGGTCACGAACTCACAGTTCATGAGTTTGAGCCCGTGTCGAGCTCTGTGCTGACACCCCAGAGCCTGGATCTTCTTCAGATTGATTCTCTCTCTCTCTCCCTCTCTCTCTCTCTCTCTCTCTCTCTCTCTCTCTCTCTCTGTCCCTCCCTGCTCATTCTCTGTCTCTCTCTCAAAAGTAAATAAATGTTAAAAAATGTTTTTTAAAAATACATTATACTAGAACTTTGGATTTAGCCACAGAAACAAAACTACAGCAGCTTGAATAAAATGGAGATCTATTTCTCATGTAAAAGTCCACATGGGGTGCCGGTACTCTGTGGGCTGCAGCCATCTGCCCATTGTTGAGGCTGCTCTGGGGCTCTTGCTGGTTGTTCGCTCAGTGTAGGTTTGTGTTGTGGGTGATGGCAGGGCTGGACAAAGAGCCCAGAGTGTGGACCTCAGTTCCAACTGAGAACAGCAGGAGCTATAGGAAGAATACCAGTTACATTTGCCAGTCATGGCAGAGTCTGATGTGACTTCTGGTCACCTGTACAATCACAGTGGCCTTAAATTCCCTCTCACTTATCAGGAGCTCAGGGGTGAGCATTCAGCTATTTTTGGTGCTACAACCCCGCTTAAAATATTTCCTTAATGAAAAATAGTCATTTTGGATTCTGATAATCTTATCTGTTTAGAGAGTCTGCAATGCATTGCAAGCAATTTTTCTAGAGGTTAGATTTCTGGGGGCAATTATACAAAAGAGCCCAGAATGGGCAGCCGTGGCTCCATTCTCTAGGCTGAACAAAGAAAAAGGGGCTGGGCAGGCCTTAAGACACCCCTTCTCCCCACTCAAATTGCTTCCAGACATGGCCTTTTGCAGTTGGTTCTCTCTCTTAGGATCTTGAAATGAAAAAAAAAAGCAATTTGGTTCCAGAAAATTCAGAGGCAAATGGAGGCCCCAGGTGTCCCCCCCCCCCCCCAAGACCCTGACCTGGAAGGCCAAGGTGCAGATCCCATATTTCTACAAGGAATTAGCAGAGTGCTATCAGTTCCCAAATTAGCCTGAAGCTTTGGCTTTGACAACAACACAAGTCAACACCACCCATGTGATAGAGGGTTTTAAGGAGCAAGTTTGTTCCCACAATGGAACAGAAACTAAAGTGGTACCAAATAGTCCTTATGTAAGCTGGGCTAACCCACTTTTCCACAGTTGCAGGCCTGTGGAGTTTCATCCAAGCTGCTCTCCGAAGTCCACACTGTGTCAAGGCCTTTGCTCAAGCCAGAGACACAGACCACCACAGGCCACACCCAAAGGCCAGAGTGAGAGCTCAGCTTTGAAGATTGTAGAAAACTCTAAGGAGACAAAAGAGAAGGGATAAAGGATCCTAGGATCTGAAAAGAGAAAGTTTTATGTCTGCAGCCATAGCCCTGGGCAATCAGACACCCTCCTCCCTCATCTGCCATCAGGAGGGCACTAGAAGAGCTAGGAGGATAGGTTGCTGAACAAGGAAAGGCAGAGTGTTAAAGGCATAGGAGCCAGGTGACAAGAATGGCAGCTGCAAATCATGATAGTTCATGGACATTAATAGGACCTCCTGCATAGATTAGGGCAGAGAACTTCTTAGTTTGTGGGATGCAACAGTGTGGTGGCGCTGGATTTCTTTGGGCTTTGGGATTAAGTGCTTTGGGCCAGGAGGAAGTGCTGAGCGTGGGAAAGTGGGAGAGGCAGAGCTGCCTGGGCTTCTATCTGGCAGGGGCCTATGAGCTTCACAGGGCAAATGTGTAAGGGGGCCGTGTGAGGCATGCTTCTGGAACATAGCTGTCACACTGGCTGCTGTAGCCTGTTCACACTAGGGACCCTCCAGCTTGGTGCTCCTCTGCAGGCTGTATAAACCAGCCCTGCTGTAGGTCCTGGAGGATGATACAGCCATCAGATCTGGGTTCTGTAATATTTGCCGTGTATGTTTAGAAGGAAATGGAAAGTTTGCCTTTTAACTGCATTTCCTCTCTTTTTATTTATTTTTTATCTATTTATCTATCTATTTATTTATTTTTAATTCTTTTAACATTTATTTTTTTAATTTTTTTTCAATATATGAAATTTATTGTCAAATTGGTTTCCGTACAACACCCAGTGCTCATCCCAAAAGGTGCCCTCCTCAATACCCATCACCCACCCTCCCCTCCCTCCCACCCCCCATCAACCCTCAGTTTGTTCTCAGTTTTTAAGAATTTCCTCTCTTTTTAAAAAATGTTTATTTATTTGTTTTCAGAGAGAGAGTGGGAGAGGGGCAGGGAGAATCCCAAGCAGGCTCTGTGCTGATACCCAGTGCTTGAACTCATAAACCATGAGATCATGACCTGAGCTGAAATCAAGAGTTGGATGCTTAACCAACTGAGCCACCCAAGCACCCGTAACTATATTTCCTTCTTGTTTCAAGAACCCTAACAATTCTATACATATTAATGCTTATTTATTTTTGAGACAGAGAGACAGAGCGTGAGCAGGGAAGGGGCAGAGAGAGAGGGAGACACAGAATCCGAAGCAGGCTCCAGGCTCTGAGCTGTCAGCACAGAGCCTGACATGGGGCTTGAACCCACGACTCATGAGATCATGACCTGAGCTGAACCTACTGAGCCACCCAGCAACCCTAACCCTAACAATTCTAGGACCACTTAGTCCAGTAGTTGTTTTCCAAAAATAAATAAAGGAGAAAATAAAAGGAAGCAAAAACATCCAAGTGGTATGGCATGTCTGGGCTGCTCTGGAGCGGCCAGGGGCCCAGGCTTGCTCCGTCTTTTGCCCTGCCATCTGTAGGGTGATGGCATAGAGGGGAGGGTGTGCCATGATAAAATCGGGGTTCGGAAAGAAAGGAGAGTTGGCACATGGCCGTTGCAAGGCAATCAACACCTCTACTCCAGTGGAAGGAATGTGGGATTTGATGCCTGTTTTTAAATCTCTATTTCTGCCACCCAGTCTCTGTGCATCTCAGGTAAGTCATTTAACCTACCTGACCCTCAGTTTCCTTGCCTGCAAAATAATTCCTACCATACCAAATGGTAGTGAGAGGTAGACATATCTTAAAAGAGCCTAGCACAGTGTCTGCTACATGTTGCTACATGACAGAACATTCCCTCCCATTGCTACAATTGGTTCCTAAGAAGTCTATTTAATTTTCTTCTCAGCCCTGCTGGTCTGCCATTTTCTCACTATAAAGAGGACAGTCATCTCCACATAGATCACTGTGCAGTGGCCTTTTCTATTTTTTGGTTGTTCAGGATCTATGTAATATTCCATTGAATAAAAATACTATAATTTATTTGCCCAGTTTATGGTAAGAACACTTGGAATTTCCCCAAGTTTTTACTGTTCCGTACAACATTGCTATGTACATACTGCTGATACACATGCATGTTAAGTTTCATCAGGGTGTCAAAGAGGTTCACCAAGAGTGAAATTTCTGGGTCATATGAAACACCTGTCCTCAACTTTACTAGATAATGTCAGACATCCTTCCAAAATGGTATGCCAGCTCACTCACCAACTCACAGCATATGAGACTGGCTGTTGCTCCACAATACACACCAACAGGTTCTTAAAGCCTTGCCATTCTGTAAGATGTGTAGTGGTGTCTCATTGTGGTCTTGACAACATTTTTGTTAGTTGCAAATATTTTGTCTTCTACCCCTGTCCCTTGTGTTTTCATTCTCCTTATAATACCTTTAGTGAATAAAGTTCTTAATTTTAATGCTGTTAGTAACTTGTTCCTTTTTCTTGCGGCCTTTTCCATTATCATTAGTGCTTTGTGTTACTTGCTTAAAAAAAAAAAAAAAATCTTTCCCTACCCAGGGTCATGAAGATCTTCTCCTATACTATCCTCCTACACTATACTAGAGAAGCTTTATACTTCTCAGAGCTGTATGATTTTGCATTTCATGTTTAGGGAGTTAATCCACTTTGGAGTTGATTTTTGTGTATCACGGGAGGAATCCTTATAGATACTCAGTTGACCCGGTGTATTTTACTAGCCATTTCTCAATGACCTGCATTCCTATCTCTGTCCAATATCAAGTGTCCAGATATGTTTGGACTAGTTTTAGGGGCTCTTTATTCTCTTTCATGGATCTATTTATTCACCCTTGTACCAGCACCTCATTATCTTGATATCTGATAATGTAGGTTCTTTGTATCTTATTTTTCTTTCTTTTTAAAAAATGTTTTATTTTTTGAGAGAGAGAGAGAGAGAGCACAGACACACACACACACACACACACACACACACACGCATGCACGCGCAAGTAGGGGAGGGGCAGCAAGACAGGGGAACAGAGGATCTGAGGCAGGCTCTGCACTGACAGGCTGACAGCAGCAAGCCTGACGTGGGACTTGAACTCACTAACTGCGAGCTCATGATCTGAGCTGAAGTCAGATGCTCAACCGACTAAGCCACCCAGGTGCCCTATCTACCTTATTTTTCAAGAGCATCTTGGCTATCCTTGGCCTTTTTCCATTCCCATATACATTTTCAAACTGACTTATCAAATACAAACAAACCAGTTAGGATTTTGATCCGTTTCGGTTTGGGGAGGATTGCCATCTTTACAGAACTGAGTTGTCCAATATAAGACTATGGTAGATCTCTTCATATTTAGATCCACCTAAATGTTTCACAGTAACATATTCAACTTTAGTATAGAGGCTTTGCACATCTTTAGCATGACTTATTTCTAGCCACATAATATTTCTTAATACCTCTATAGAGGTAAGGTTGACATACAATAACTGTATAATATTTATAGGGTATGACTTGTTAAGTTTACCATACACACCCGAGACCATCACTACAATCAAGATAATAAATATATGCATCACCCCCAAAAGACTCCTCATGTCCCTTTGTAATCCTTCCTTCCCAAACATCCCCCCTGTCTCCTCTGTACCCAAGCAATCAATAACTGGCTTTCTGTCACTCTAGACCAGTTTACACTTCTCAGAATATGATATAAATTAAATCATGTAGTATGTACTCTTTTTGATCTGCTTTCTTTTCACTCAGCATAACTGTTTTGATTCATTTAGGCTACAGTGTGTATCAATAGTTGCTTTTTAGAAAAGTCTTTTTATTTTGAAATAGTTATATATTCACAGGAAGTTGCAAAAATAGTTCAGAGTTTCCCTGTACCCTTTACCCAGTTTCTCCTCCTCGATCTTTGCATGCCTGGGTACTTTCTGTCACTAATATGTCTGCTCAAATACAGCTTGCTCTGACCAAACAATATAATATCGTCAGCTGGTGGGTCTCTACCACCTCTCCCTCTGTTATTTTCTGCCTAGAACTTACTAACAGCTGATTTTTCTCATTTGTTTATTAATTTCTGTATTGTGATCTCACCCTATTAGAATATGAATTCCGTGAAAACAGAGACCTTGTCTGTTCCTAGTCAGTGACTAGAATACAGCCTGGCATCAACAAATCATTGTTGAATAATAAAATACTAAATCTCCCAGCAACTGCATAACATGGATATTGTTCTCTCTATTTTAAAGATGAAAAACTGGGTTGGGAAAGATAAAGTGGCATGCCCTAAACTGCACAGTTTGTAGTAGTGGTGGTGGGGGATATTGGGTGCTGAGATGTGAATCTCTGATTTATAAAGACACCCTGTTTTTAAAAAATTCTGAGACAGGAAGCAGGGCAGAAAGAAGCTGGTTATCTCTATGTTCTTCTATAGCAGTAGTCCTTGTTCACACCATAGACTCCGACCACAGTGCCCAGGCCAGTGACAGCTAACATCCCAAGTGGTCAGCCCTTGGGGTCACTGGCCCCAGCAGCAGTGGCAGGGCTTACAAGTCCCAGCATGGACTTCCCTACTTCCTAGAAAGAGCAGGCAACTAATTTCCCCCATCCCCATTCATGCTTATGTTTTTTTTTTTTTAAACGAGTTAATACTTCTAGCATTTATTTCTAAATCTTTTTTTAAAGAGGCATTAGAGTTCATCACCATTTATTGCAAATGGATTTCTTTAAACAAGTCAGTTCTGATGTTGAAACTGTAATGCATGATTTTTTGTTTTTGTTTTTAGTTTTTTTTTTTGGCACTATTTATCATTTAGAACAATAGAGAACAACTTTTAAAATAAAAAGTGGATAGCACTTCACTGAAAAACTATTCCAAGAAACAGATTTTACTTTTATGCCCCAAATCTACATGTTTTTAGTTAAGCTATATTAAAAAGTTAATTTCCAAAAAGACACAAGCTTAAGAAATCATGATGAAAGTTAGCTGGATTTTCTTGAGAAATGAAATTAAAAACAGACGGCACTGCTTACTTTTCAGCAAATTCTGCTTTGCCAAGTTTCGAAAGGAAAAAGCCTAACAGAGTTTTCCATGTCGTCTCCTTGCCTGGGAGAGTCTGGAGGACGTGCTCCTTTCTGACAGCCTACTTTGTCATCGCTGCTCCCAGTCACAGCTGAATCTGTCAACATGATGGCTTCACCTACTCGCCATGCACAGCCTAGAGCTGCAAATCCCGGTTGGAGTAGATAAATTCCCTGCCTCTTCGATGGAGCTATGGATTTCAGGTGTTGCTTTATGTGCTCCAGTCAATTTGCATGAAGCTAGTACAAGAAAGGAACCACATCACTTACGTCTGTGAACTTTCTGGAACAAAAATCTGGCACATCAGTCTGTTACTTTATCCATTACAATGTGAGTACCCAGTAGCAATCTTTCTTCCAGAGCTTCTGATCCGTAGCCAAATGTATGATCCGTCAGTTGGGTCATGTTGCAAACTTTGTGTTACAATCAACACTTTGGAAAATGTATCATCACTGTCCTAGTCTTCAGAAGCATGATTCCTGTGGGGTTAGGGAAAAGAAAAGCCCCCAATAAATCCCCTTTCCTACTGCCTTGAGCCAACCTTTTAAGCTGCTCTGTCCTTTCTGGGGTGGATAAGTGAACACTGGGCCTTTCTGCTTTAAAAAAAAAAAAAACAACACCATAAAAACAAGACATGATCAGTGTGTATGTATCATTTAGAAAATACAGAAAGATAGAAGTGTTTTAAAAATCACCCTTTGGGCGCCTGGGTGGCTAAGTTGGTTAAGCCTCCGACCCCTGATTTTGGTTCGGGTCATGGTCTCAGGGTCATGGGATCTCTGCACGCTCAGCAGAGCCTGTGTGGGATTCTCTCTCCCTCTCTCTCTGCCCCTCCCCAGCTTGTGAATGCACGCTTTCTCTCTCTCTCTCTCTCTCTCTCTCTCTCTCTCTCTCTCAAAATAAGTAAACTTCAGAAAAAAAATCACCCTTGATCCTACTGGTCAATGTTAGTTTTTTGGTGAACATCTTTCAGATTTTTTTAAATGTGTGCACATAGACACACATCTTCACAGAAATGTTATTTTATTATTATACATGTTGTCTGGTAACTTTCTAAAAACAATACAGTTGAACATTTGGATATATCACCAACATTTTTTATCTAACATGATTTTTCATGGCTGCATAGACTATTTAGCCTATGGATAGAGAGGCTGTTCACAAGTTTTGGCTATTACAATGAGAGATGAACATGCTCATCGCAAAATCTCTGTTTCTTTACTTGTCTCCTTAAGGACAGTCACACAAGTGGAAAGGCTACAGCCCAGGGCACGCCCGATGCAGTTCTCAGGCTTCCCTTGAGTAACCCCATGCCACACGCACTCCTGTCCACACCGCAGCCCACCCAGCCAGCTTCGGGAAGTACGCGCCAGACGACTGTGCTGGCTCCGAGGAACCTGGGGTAGAGCGCGCGTAGCGTGCACAGCAAGCCGTTGAGTCTGTGGTCCCATCTAAGCCCTCTAGGGCAAAGGGAGGTGTCCCCAAGAGAAGAGAGCACGAATGAGGGTGGGCCTATGGAAGGAGTCACCTCTTGTCCCTGCGTGGCACAGGCTCTGTCTTTGAACCTTGATTTCCTCATCTGCGGAACGGGGATGGATTCCCCTGGTGATGGAGACGCGTGGATGCGGCGCCTCCGGGGTGCACAAAACCGAGCCCCGCCTGCGGGAGCGCCCCGCCGCCTGCAGGAGGCCGAGGGCCAGGGAGCCACGCCACGCCGGGAGAACGGCTCCGGGCCTGCAGGGGGAGCCGCGAGCCCACTGCCCGAGCTGCAGCGGCGGGGGGCGGGGCCGCCGAGCCACCAGGGAGGAACGCGCCGCCCGGCGTTCGGCCGGGACCCACGCTGGGTCTTCATCTCGGGGGATTTCTTTTCCCGTGCAACAAAAACGCCAGCAGCCTAACAGGTCCTCGCTTGGCTTTTCCCCTCCCCGCTCAGTCCAGCGGTCCTGAGCTCCAAGTCTTGGCTCCAGGGTTTTCAAACCTCCGCGGGGAGGCTTCGCCTCCAGGGAGCCTTGCTGGACTCCCACAGGGCTCAAGAGGCGTGGCGCCCCAGGCGGCGCCTGCTTCCGCGAGTGTGCGGCCCACTTCCTGCGTTTGGCTGTCTCTGGGGATGGGCGCTTTGCTTCCCTACCGGGACTCGATCCCCTTATTGCCGCACGCAAGCGCCACTCGCCTCGGGCCCATCGTTAGAAGCGAAGGAGCCACCTCTTCTCCCCGCAGAGCGCAAAGGTCCTCGGAAGGGGCTATGCTGCACCTCCCACCCTTTAGCCAATTTGCTAAAGGTCCCAATTGGGGCGTGCCAATTGTGTGTGTGTGTTGGGGGGTGGGGTGGGAGGAATCGTTGTGCGTCTTTGTGGGAGTTTGTGCAGCATGTCGGCTGCGTGTTTGTGCCTGTGTGACTGTACATGTACTGTGAGAAAGCATCTTCTAAATTAACTCAATGTATGGAGTTAGTATTAAAGTGGAACTGGAATAGATTCTAATCCTTGTTACTTGAGGATATAGGTAGAATAGCCAAGAAATCTGAGGGCTGGGGATTAATACTGTATTCGCAACCATAGGCATCTAACCTTGGGCAAATCTCTTCCTTAACTGGTCTTCATTGCCACTTTGGTAAAAGATAATTGTTTAAATGGAAAATCTCTCATAAAAGTATGAAATGACCATGTGTCAGATTTTAACTCCTTAGTTAGTGAGAGAATAATATGTTGAAAAATCAGTTCAAAGGACAATACAAAGGCCGGACACACATACCATCAATCAGGAATAATGAAACGAATTTGTTAATTGATACAAAATTGGCTCCTTCCCTGGGGCGGGGGATCAATTACACCTCCACCGGACAAAATTTATTTGCATTGCGATGAACATGAATCATTTGTATTATTTTCAGTTTTCTGCAATTTATAGACTCAAAGACAATGAGATGGTAGCCTGGAAGGGCACACTAGCCCAGTATTCAATAGGGCATTTCCCCCTCCCCCACCCCCATTTCAAAAATCTCTCACACTTTTTCCTGGCAATTTGTACAATAGGGTTGGGTTGCATAAAGATTTTCCAAAGTTTTTAGTAGTGCAACTCTTTTTCTAAGTGAAATCTTGCAGGAAATCCGTGTGTGTGTGTGTGTGTGTGTGTGTGTGTGTGTGTGTGTTTATGTATATATGTGTATATATACATATATATATTTTACTTTCTAGAATTTATTTTTTATAATTTACATTAAAGTTAATTTGCAAATGGTGCAACAATGATTTCAGGAGTAGATTGCTTAGTGCCCCTTACCCATTTAGCCCATCCCCCACCCACAACCCCTCCAGCAACCCTGTTTGTTCTCTATATTTAAGTCTCATGTTTTGTCACCTCCCTGTTTTTATATTATTTTTGCTTCCCTTTTCTTATATTCATCTGTTTTGTCTCTTAAAGTCCTCATATGAGTGAAGTCGTATGATATTTGTCTTCCTCTAATTTTGCTTAGCATAATACCCTCTAGTTCCAACCACGTAGTTGCAAAATGGCAAGACTTCATTCTTTATGATTGCCGAGTGATACTCCATTGTGTATATGTATACCACATCTTCTTTATCCATTCATCCATCGATGGACATTTGGGCTCTTTCCATACTTTGGCTATTGCTGACAGTGCTGCTATAAACATTGGGGTGCATGTGCCCCTTCGAAACAACATACCCGTATCCCTTGGATAAATACCTAGTAATGCAATTGCTGGGTCGTAGGGTAGTTCTATTTTTAGCTTTTTGAGGAACCTCCATACTGTTTTCCAGAGTGGCTGCATCAGTTTGCATTCCCACCAGCAACACAAAAGAGATCCTCTTTCTCCGCATCCTCGCCAACATCTGTTGTTGCCTGACTTGTTAATGTTAGCTATTCTGACAGGTGTGAGGGGGTATCTCATTGTGGTTTTGATTTGTATTTCCTGGATGATGAGTGATGTTGAGCATTTTTTCATGTGTCGGTTGGCCATCTGGATGTCTTCTTTGGAGAAGTGTCTATTCATGTCTTTTGCCCATTTCTTCACTGGGTTATTTGTTTTTTGGGTGTTGAGTTTGATAAATTTTTGATAGATTTTGGATATTAACCCTTTATCTGATATGTCATTTGTAAATATCTTCTCCCATTCTGTTGGTTGCCTTTTAGTTTTGCTGATTGTTTCCTTTGCTGTGCAGAAGCTTTTTATTTTGATGAGGTCCCAATAGTTCATTTTTGCTTTGGTTTCCCTTGACTCTGGAGATGTGTTGAGTAAGAAGTTGCTGAGGCCAAGGTCAAAGAGGTTTTTGCCTGCTTTCTCCTTAAGGATTTTGATGACTTCCTGTCTTATGTTCAGGTCTTTTATACATTTTATTTTGTGTATGATGTAAGAAAGTGGTCCAGGTTCATTCTTCTGCATGTTGCTGTCCAGTTTTCCCAGCACCAGTTGCTGAAGAGACTGTCTTTATTCCATTGGATATTCTTTCCTGCTTTGTCAAAGATTAGCTGGCCATATGTTTCTGGGTCCATTTCTGTGTTCTCTATTCTGTTCCATTGATCTTAGTGTCTGTTTTTGTGCCATGTATATGTATACATTTTAAATCTCAGTTAAAATCATTTACTATACAGTTAATACATGCTCATTGTAAAATTGTGGGGAAGTACATAAGGTTACTAAATAAAAATTAGTCTTCCTTCTCTTCTCCCTTTTCCTTCTCTCCTTTCAATTCCAGAGCTACCTACTATGAAAGATTTTTGCATACCTCAGAAGATACCCTCTTCACATATACAAACATGTGGTTTTTAAAACACAGATGAGATAAAAACAATTTGCTCTTCTGTACTTTCTTTTTTTTTTTTTTCCAATTAAAAATATACTGTGGACATAGAGGCCCACCTAATCATTTTAAGTGGCTTAGTTGTATTCCATGGTATAGTTACCTTCAACTTATTTGGCCTGCTTTCTCTTAATGGATATTTTTTAGTTGTTTTCCAGTTTTTTGTATTATAAACAAATGCTTCCATGAGCTTCCTTAATCAGTACTTTTGTGTGGTGATACATCTATATCTTTTTATTTTTATAGACAGGGCATGAGCAGGGGAGGGGCAGAGAGAGAGGGGCACACAGAATCCGAAGCAGGCTCCAGGCTCTGAGCTGTCAGCACAGAGCCTGACGCGGGGCTCGAACTCACGAACCATGAGATCACGACCTGGGCTGAAGTCGGACACTTAACCAACCGAGCCACCCAGGCGCCCTGATATATCTATATCTGTCTATTGATCTATAAAATTTTAGGAGTGGAATCACTGCGTTGAAGGACAGGTGCATTTAAACATTTTGATATATATTGCCAAGTTACCTTCCCCCAAAGTTGTAATCATTTATTTTTTCCTAGCCAAATGGCGTATCTTTACATCTCCACCAAGAGTGGGTATTATCAGACTTTTAAATCTTTGTCGATCTGATAGAGGGAAATGGCCCTCATCATTTCAGTGTACTTTTCTACAATTATCTCTAGCAGTTAAAAATCTTCCCCTTGATGAGAAATTGCTTCACTGTTTATGTGACCTTCCTCTGCAGAATAAGTCACATGGCATAATTTGAAAACTCTTGAGCTAGCTTGGTTCCCCAGGATCTCACATTCCAGGAGGCAGA